CCTGCAGCCACATCCAGCTCATGTCCTGCTGCAGTAATAACATCCCCTGTCATCAGTCTCTAGAATCAGGCCCGTGGGGGCTGAGTTGGTGCCATAATTCCATAGTTCTGCAAGCTTAGACAAAGCAACCTAACCTCCCAAAGCAGCAATATCCCAACAGGGACAACCCTTTGCTTCACAGCTCGTGGCACTGCACTCACGCCTGGCTCCAGCCCTCAGTGAATGTTGGTGACCAGATTTTTTTAAGATTGTATTTTTAAATAATCTCCACACCCAACATGGCGCTCTTGCTCACAGCCCTGAGATCAGGAGTCACACGCTCCATGGACTGAGCCAGTCAGGTGCCCCTGGTGACCATCATTTTATGAGAGACCTTCCTCACCTGAGTTTGTACAGTGAGACTCCTCACTGATCATTTTCACAAATATCTTAAATGTTGTGAAATGGCCATTTATGTTCCCCTATCAAAGTAACAATAAGAGGTAACATCGAGGTGTACACTATGTGCTAAATTTACTCTGGGCAAGTCCCACAGATCCGTTCCCTACTTACAGCGACCTTGTGTGGAAGTAACTTGCCCAGTGTCACAAGGCTAGTACACAGTGAAGCCAGGGTTTGACAAAAATTTTAGCCCCAGAACCCACACTATTACAACTATGCTGAGCTGCCTCTCCCACATGTAAAAATGTTAAATGACAAGGTTTTGATCAAAATCCAGCAATCCTCTGCCCCATCCGTGGAGAGCCTGTGCTCAGCTCCGGGGCTGGGCTTGCCCCCCATCCCCTGATGGGAGCTGCTCCTGTGCCGACAGGAGCCGCTTTAGCCTTCAGCGCCTGCTCCCCCACTCAATCCCTTTGCTGGCTCTCAACTACTGTGTTAAAGCTGATATACGTCCCTTCGTCTTCCCGAGTCCCAGGGTCCCTCCCGCGGGTGGGCCACTCCTCCATGCTCTGCTCCCGTCTGACCCCCCCCCCTTTCAGTGCCTACATCTCCAGCCCAACTCCACACGCAGGGCTCACAGGGAATCTGTGCTCAAGGAAGACTTGTTTTGTGGGTCCTTTCCAGGTCTTGTGTTCCACCCTCCCCCAGGGAAGGAACTACCGGGCTCAGGGAAGACTTCAGAATGTCTCCGTGTGAGAATAAACCTTCCCCCGGCCCGCCCCCTTATCCTCTCGTGCCATCCAAGAGCAGACTCTCTTTTCAGCCTGTAACATCCCCAGTCAGCGCTGCCTGTAATTCAAAACACAGGATGACTTACCTGTTAGCCGAAGACTTTTCTCCTTAGCCATCTGAAAAAAATCTCTTCACTTTATAATTTAGGAAAGACCACCACCAACTCACCTTCTGGCGCAGCTCCTGGCCACAACAAAGGTTAAAAAAGAAAAACCCTTAATTGAAGATGATTTAAAATAATGTAAAAGCTATTATTTGCGGGGGGGCGCCTGGGTGGCTCAGTCGTTAAGTGTCTGCCTTCGGCTCAGGTCATGATCCTAGGTTCTGGGATCGGGCTTCCCACTCCGCTGGGAGTCTGCTTCTGTCTGCACCCCGCCCCCAAGCCCGTGTGTGTGTGTGTGTGTGTGTGTGTGTGTGTGCGTGTGTGCACGTGTGTGTGCACGCGCGCTTGCTCTCTGAAATCTTAAAAAAAAAAAAAGCTACTACTCGACAATAAGCTAACAGGCAATGCACAGCAGTGCCAGTCCCCTGAAAAGCACTGCTCGGTGTCACCTGTCAACCCAGGTAAGGTCAGCCTGTGCAGAGGCCTCCAGCTCTCTTATCCAAGCTGGCCTCCGCTCCGGGTCCAGCTTGGCTGGGGCCTGGCCACTCAGGGCTGTTGCTCTGAAGCCCACGGCCCCTCCTGTTAGCAAGACGTTTACTGGCACAACATCCTCTAGAGCTGTGGTTTTCGGGGGGGGGGGTTTGAACCTCAGGTGGTACACAAGATATCAACTGCTGTCATGCAGGACAAACTGACCAACATTTCTCATTTTTAAAGATAAGAATACAATGAAGTTAACTTTTGGTGCCCTCTTTTAACTTTTTTGGTGCTCTCACTGGGATCCCAATGTTCACCTCTAATCAATCAGATCAGCGTCCTAAAGTAAGAAACTCAAACCCAAAGCTGCTGCGGGCCTGCAGTCTACATGCTCCAAGACGCGGTGGGTTTTGTGGTCCTAACCATGCATATGCCCTCTAAACACACGGTCACTGTACTTGGAAATCATTTTCTGACCTAAGTCTTCCAAATGAAAAAATTTAGGGGGTTTTGGCTCATATACTAAAAAAAAAAAAAAGTAAATGCAGCCAAAGCAGCACCTATTCCATTTGGATTTACAAGGTTTTGAGAGGTACTCCTGTTATGCAGACCAAAAAAATAATTACCAAAATAAACGTTCAACAAGAAACTCAGAAAACATTAGACCATGATTTAAAAAATGTTTCTCCCTTTGCTATTTTTTTTAGAGCAAAAAGGTATTTTGTACTATTAATAAAATATTTCAAAACATTTATTTCATTAACTCACCCATTACTTTTGGGTTGGTTGTTTTTTGAAAGAGAACAAGAGAGAAAGCAAGAGCGTGAGCACATGCAGTGGGGGTGGGTGGACGGAAGGGCAGAGGGAGAGGGAGAACCTTAAGCAGGCTCCACGCTCAGCATGGAGTCCAACTCAGGGCTTGATCCCACAGCCCTGTGCTCATGACCTGAGCTGAAATCAAGGGTCGACGCTTAACCGACTGAGCCACCCAGGCACCCCACCCATCACATTTTTAATGTGTGTAATAAATAGGGGCACCTGGGTGGCTCAGTCGGTTAAGCGTCTGCCTTCGGCTCCGGTCATGATCTCAAGGTCCTGGGATTGAGCCCCACATCGGGCTCCCTGCTCACTGGGGAACCTGTTTTCTCCCTCTCCCTCTGTATCTCCCCTGGTTTGTGCTCACTCATGTGTGTGCTCTCTCTCTCCCACTCTGTCAAATAAATAAAATCTTTAAAAAATAAAAACTGGTGGGGCGCCTGGGTGGCTCAGTCCTTAAGCGTCTGCCTTCGGCTCAGGTCATGGTCCCAGGGTCCTGGGATGGAGCCCTGCATCGGGCTCCCTGCTCCGCGGGAAGCCTGCTTCTCCCTCTCCCACTCCCCCTGCTTGTGTTCCCTCTCTCGCTGTGTCTCTCTCTGTCAAATAAATAAATAAAATCTTTTAAAAAAATAAAAAATAAAAACTGGTAAATGTTTATATAATTCTTCTAACTGACAGACATACCCAAACTTTTGGAGTCTTAGGACTCTAAGATTCTCTTTTAGTTACTAATGCTATATAACAAACCACCCCAAATTAAGTATAAACATTTTATAGTGCTCATAGATTCTATGGCCCAGGAATCTGGAAAAGGCACAGAAAAGATGAGGCCTGCAGTGTTACAATCATCTGGTTCACATCTGAAGCACATCTGGTGGTTGATACTGGACATAGGCTGGGACTGCAGCTAGGGCCGCTAGCTGGAACCCTAAACATGGCCTTTCCATGTGGCTGCTTGGGGCTGTCTCACAGCCTGGTGACTGGGCTCCAAGAGTGAACAGGTCAAGAAACAGGATGTTGGAAGCTGCTAGTTCAATTCAGCGTTCAGAAACTGGCACAGCGTCAGTCCATCATATTCTATTAAGCAATCACAGAGCCCATATTCCAGGGGAGAGGATCTAGACCCACCCCCTCAATAAAGAGTGTTAAACAATTTGGGGAGCATGATATAGAACTTGCACATATTCTAAGGTTGATGCTCAATTCACCACTCTGCACCATCTGGATGCATAAAGATTTCCATATTTACAGAGCTGCCGAGCTTCTCTTTTGATCTTATGAAGTACCCTCAGCTTGGCTGGTATTTTAAATAACTTGGGAATCTTTCTCCTCCTGGATCCTTAGTGACCTCCTATGTTCACCTTAGTTTTCCCACTCTGTTCCCAGATCCCATAGGAAGGGCTCCTTTCCCTGGACCTGTTCCCCCTTAATACAGATTCAAGATCTCTGAGTAGGTCAGCTGCCTTTCCGCAGACTCCTATGTCCACCTTTAGCGTCTATCTGGGGGAGAGGGTGCTGGAGTGGAAGGGAAGAGAAGGAGGGAATGAGTTTGGCTGAGTGACCAGATCAGAGGAAGTCAGGATTCCTTTTGCCACAGACCACCAGCCGATTGGCTGTATCCAGCTTGGGAAGCCAGAGTGAGAACCTGAAGTTAAAGCAGATGCCCAGGACAGGGAGGAGGCTGAAGGGCTTAAACAAAGCAGAAAGTGACGACTGTCTTCACACACCCGTGTGCTCGTCAGGGGCAGAGAGAGAGCAGACGTGCTGTGCTCTTTCAAGAAGCAGAATGAGAACAAAAGAGTTTGAAGGAGGAAGGTTTCCAGAGGTGGCCTAAGTGAGAGATGACGGCACTGAGCGAAGAGACTGACAGACGAGAGAGAGTTTGCAGAATGACATGACAGGACTTGGTGAGGAACTAACTGGGGAAGGCAAGATTAAAGGAGAAGCCAGCATCGAAGTCTTGGATTTTGGGGTTGGACATTTGGAGTCACTTTTCTAAATTTCCTCCTAACTCAGACACTGAGATTCTATACAATTTCAAGTTATAATAGGTGTCTTGGGCATGAAGTCACGAACTTCCCCTGGGAAAGAACCCTTGGGTGAAGGCTGCCAAGGTGTATGGCCTGTTCTCAGTGTAGGTGAGAGAGGCCACGGTCCAGCCATCAGGGATTCTGCCTGCCCTCCTCGGTGCTCTCTAGAGAAACTACTGAAAGATAGCCAGCGTCTTCCCAGTTCCTCTGCCCCACCATGTGTCCCAGTTACTGAGCAGCCTCGAGCCAATACACGAAAGTATTTGGGGGCACGTGAAAGGCTGGCGTCTGTCTGTACACTCGGCCATGGCGCGAGCGAGGCAGAGCCACTTAAGACACCAGAAAAGAACCTGATGGGCATTAGTTTAACAATCTCGAGCCACACCCCAGGAACCAGCTGCTTGAAACATGTTTATTGAGGTAATCGCTAGGGCACAAAAGAGGCTGGGAAAGCCTTTCCAAAAACACAGCAAACTACTGGGCTCTTTCCATTCAGACAGGGAGGCAGTGCCTCTCCCCGACCCCCTCCAGACACAGCAGGAAAAAGGCACTCAACCCCGGGACGGAGCCGGGGAGCATTAGGAAGGACAGGGGGCCTAAGGCTTCTCAGCCCAACATCATCAGAGAAAGGTTAGGTTAGGTTAGGAAGGCACAGCCCACCTCTCCTTCCCTTCAAAGACCAGGGTGGGGCCTGGAAGTAATGGTTCCTTCTGCTCTCTTCTCCTGTTTTGCCTTTTCCGAGTGGAGGTGGGGAGGCGCACAGAGTCCTGTCAGAAATCCTGTAATGGGAAAGATGAAAACACAGACACAAAACAGCCCAAAGGGCAAAGAGATGACAGTGAGCTCCCCCAGGTGACCATTTTAGTTCTCCTCCTACCCTCCCCCCACAGCTACTCCTAAGGTTCCAAAAACAGCGGAGAGGGCCGGCCACAGGCTATGGCCTCTCTTTCCGCCTACTACATAGGACAGAGGTTACCTGCAACACCTCCCAAGGACACACAACTCCTCTAAACTGCCTTCCACAGTCTGTGTGGGGACACTCACCTCAAAGTTCAGCTCTGTAGAATCTAAGAGGTCCAGCCCGTGCTCGCTGGGGGAAGAGTGCTAGAGAGAGCAGGCAGAAGTCAGACAGGCCTTCCGTTACATGGCAAACAATAACCAAGGGCCCTTTCTGAGCTGGGTCCCTGCAGCAGCCAGGGAGGGGAGACTAGCAAAGGGACGGTGGGCGAAGGTTCAGATCTAGAGGTGCCTCCTCTCCTGGCTTGCCAACTGAGGCCCTTAAATTTGTTCAGTTTGGAACCAGAGAACGGCATTTTTCCTGAGGGAACTTCAGGAAAGACCATTTTAATAGAGGCCTTGCTCTCTAGTCTCTCTTTTTTTAAAAAATTTTATTTATTCATGACAGAGAAAGAGGCAGAGGCAGAGGGAGAGGCAGAGGGAGAGGCAGAGGGAGAGGCAGAGGGAGAAGCAGGCCTCCCGCCGAGCAGGGAGCCCGATGTGGGGCTCGATCCCAGGACCCTGGGATCATGACCTGAGCCGAAGGCAGACGCTTAATCGACTGAGCCACCCAGGTGGTGTCCCTCTAGTCTCTGTTTGAAGATGTCCTTGTTTTTGTCCTTCTGAGTACAAGACCCTCCATTCCCCTGCACTCTTCTGCCCTTTCTTTCCCCCACAAAGATCAGAGAAGGGAAGGAGCATAACAGCAGCAGACACATAACCCTTCTCAGTTTACAAGCTCCATCTGAAAGATGAAGAGGTTGAGGAGTTAAGAGAAGCTAACTTGACAAAGCAGGAGAGCTGAGGACTCAGATCACCTCACAACCTCCATGTGCTCCTACTGGCCTGGAGCTATTTGCTCCTGGGGAAGCAGGTGGGCCAGGGTGGGAAAGGGAGTGAGTGGAGGAACTGGGGGGTGGGGAGGAACGGGGGGACCAGGGGACCGTCCATCATCTCTAGCTCTGGGACTCCTTTTAACTCTTAGGCTCAGAGGCAAAATACCTATATGGGGATCGAGGGAGGGAAGGTTATCCGAGTCCTTTTTGGTGCTTTTGTTTTCCCTCCCTTCTTTAATAAAAGTCCAAGCAAAGTACAAAGCAACTTACCAATCTCCCTCCTTTACCCTGTGATTCTTTAAAAAAAAAATCCTCAGCAGCTCTCAGAGAAAGGGCATCGTCAGGACAACAGAGGAGAATCATGCTAGCTTCTCTCACAGTTGCCTCTAGTTCTAGAGGGAGAAGGGAATGTCGGGCCTACGCACCTTGTCTGCATCTTGCCATTCTTCACTTAACTCATTGTGACTTTCCAACTCTTCTTCATCCTCTTCCATAAGGCTGAGGCTGAGGGCAGGAGCAAAGGGCAGAGGCTCTCACAACTGCTGCTTACGGACGAGCCCTGAGAGTCCCTGGGAGGCAGCCGGGGGAGCGGGGACAGGCATGCGGGGGGGGGGGGGGGGGGGGGGGGGGGGGGGGGGGGGGGGGGGGGGGACAGGCGGGCTCCAGGTCTCCACTGCTGCTTCCATCAGAGCAGCTCTACTCCTGTCAGTTCTACAGGCCGGGGGCACATACTGTCCTGGAAGGAAGTGGTCTGTGATTTAAACATGTCCAAAAAGTATGGGCACAGAAGCAGTGGGTCACGGGAGAACCCCACAGTGACCACCAAATGTGAAGTGAGGATGGAAGACGATGAGAAACTCACCGGGTCAGCCGGGTGCCCAAACCAGGACCTGAAGGGTTGAGCAGAGTCCGGAAGCGCCGTGGACTCGAGAACCTTGACCTCTGGTTACCTGAAAGGGGCTGGCTGTTGGGAATAAAGTAGGGTAAGGGAGGGGGGTAAAGTAAAGGGTAAAAAGGGATGGTGGGCAATGTTACACGAGAAAAACGTGTAGGGAGAAAGAAAATCCCAAGCTAAGAAAATGGGAAAGGTGCAGGGACGAACCCGAGAAGGACGGAGTGCCACAGGAGGAACGAGAGAACAGAAATGGCAGGATGGAGGCAGCCAGACACCAAGATCAGATGCCCGGATGCTGCTGCCCTTGGCCCTTACCCTTGGGTAAGCTCCGGTTCTGAGCTGCCTTCTTCCTCCACTTCTTCCAACCCCCTCAGGGGCTGCCCCCTCTTCACGGCTGTGGAGGTGAGGGTGGGTGAGGGGGGGATGCTGTTCAGCTGCAGGCTTTCTTCCTGGGATGAAGAGGCATCCCCTTTCTGCCGCCTGGAGGGGCCTGAGGAGAAACAGGCACGCATAGTCACTGGAGACCAGGGACTGCCACAGATCTTTCCTACGGTTTCAAGACCTGCCCAGGGTTTGGTTCGCAAAAGTTAAGAAAGAAGAGAATGGAAAACCTATATGGCCTCGTTATGTTAGGATAAAAATGAGTATAATCCTACTTCCTAAAAAGTAAGGCTTACAAAATGGTATCTAGGACTTGTTGAAGGAAAGCGGGGGAAAAGGCGTAAAATGGCTGTAGAGTTTGGGGACCAGAAGCCACAAGGGTGGAAGCATGAGGGCTAGCGAGACTAGAAAAATGGGAGACTGGATTTTCTAAAAGCCAGGAAAAATTAGGTGACCGCAGCACCAGCGAGCTGATCTGAAGAAGTGGAACACCAGGGCTCATGGCCTTAGCATCTCCTGCAGAGACCTGAGAAGGCAGAAGAGGAGAAAGAATCCAAGGTTATCAGAAAACCCAGGTGATAGTATTTTCAAACCAATATGAATATTTGTCAACTGTAAATGTTCACACCCCCGTTACCCTCTGTCCCACAGCCATGTCTGTGTGCTGAAACCAGTCACTGGAAAGTGAGCTGCTACTGGTCTAAGCGGAGGACTAGAGAAAACAAGGAAGAGCTACACGTAGGACTTTGGGGCGCCTGGGGGCTCAGTCGGTTAAGCGTCCAACTCTTGACTTTGGCTCAGGTCATGATCTTGGGGTCGTGAGGTGGAGCCCTGCGTCGGGTTCCAAGCCCAGTGGGGAGTCTGCTCGGGATCCTCTCTCCCACTGCTCCTCTACCCGCTAGTGCGCACGCACGCTCTCTCTGATAAATCCTTAAATAAAAAAAAGCCAAATTGAAAAACAAACAAAACAACCCACACGCGTGACTTTGTTTCCCCAGGGAGGACCAGGTGGGCCTTCCTCCTCTCCCCAGCCTGCTCATGGTGCGGTGCCCACGGGCTCAGCCCTTCAGCCTGTTCTGTCCTCCATCTTCACTGGCTTCCTTAGCCACGCAGGTTCACATTTTTATTTTTATTTTATTTTTATTTTTTTTTAAAGATTTTATTTATTTATTTGAGAGAGAGGGAATGAGAGACAGAGAGCACGCGAGGGAAGAGGGTCAGAGGGAGAAGCAGACTCCCTGCCGAGCAGGGAGCCAAACGCGGGACTCGATCCCGGGACTCCAGGATCTTGACCTGAGCCGAAGGCAGTCGCTTAACCAACTGAGCCACCCAGGCGCCCCAGGTTCACATTTTTAAATACCAACTCCCAAATTTATCTCAAGTGTTTGCCTCTCCCCTGAACTCCAGACTCCTGTCCCCCCACTGCCTGTCCAGCGTCTTCACCTGCAACAACACGGCTAATACTCAAGACCCATTCTCCTCACTCCCCACTTTACCCATCTCAGTTGGTAGCCGTGCCATCAGTAACAGCTGTTAGGTCAAAATCCTTTTTTCAGGCCAAATCCACCCTCAGCTCCTGTCTTAGATCCCACATCTCAGGAAATCCTGTCAGTGATACCTTAGAACTATATCCAGGATCTGGTCACTTCTCCCCACCTCCACCACTCCCCCCAGTCTGTCCACTCCATGGCTTCCTTGCTGGTCCCTTTGCTTCTGCCCTTGTCCCTCTACAGTCAATTCTCAACACAGCAGCCAGAAAGATCCTTTAAAAACAGAAGGCAGATCTCCTCTGCTCAAATGCTCTGTTTTCCCATTTCACTGGGTTTTTTTGCTTTGTTTTTAAAGATTTTATTTATTTTTTTGACGGGGAGAGAGAGAGAGAGAGAGAGAGAGAGAGAGAGAGAGAGAGAGA